GTATTAGTATTCATATATATATATATCAATATATATATATATATAGATATAATATATATATTCATATATATAAATATATATATATATTTTTTATGAAGTAATCAGTCCTCATAGTTTCTGGGAGTTATTACACTACTCTAATAGACAGTAAAGATATATACATTACAGTCTAAATTTGTTGGTTTTGCACTTAGAGAGTACTCGCAATTTACACATTGATACCCACCCGTATTGTGATTTGGTGATCTCTCCTGTTTCGCCACAGCCCATAAGTCGGGGCATTGATGGTCCACAAATGTCCAGATCGGCCACACCCACTTTCTTTCCATTGTGCGCCAAAGCTTGTGCGACCGCAGCCGTCAATGTGCTCTTGCCCACACATATATACGTGAGCATGGAGAAATTTAGGTTAGGTAAGTATGGAGTGTTATAGGTTAGGACCAATTAACTACGTGAGAATGGGCTGTTATAGGTTAGGGTTAATAACTACGTGAGCATGGAGTGTTAAAGCTTAGGATCAATAACTACGTAAGCATGGAGTGTTATAGGTTAGGACCAATAACTACGTAAGCATGGAGTGATATAGGTTAGGTCCAATGACTACTTAAGCATCGAGTGTCATAGGTTTGGATCAATAACTACGTGAGTGTAAATATACAATTCGCCACACTTGAATACCAGCAGACGAGTAAGGTGTGACTGAATGCGATTCCTATTTTAACTAGGCAGTCTTCGTCAATCCTCGCACGATATTTACAGCTGCGAAAACGAGTAATGAATTAAGCCTTCACATCAGGTATTTGATGTCGGAGCACTCACCCCTAGCAACTGTACATCTACCAAAAACATACAACCGAATGTGACAATGCAGCTCAACTGGGCGTATCTGCCATGTGCGACAGGGCAGCCAAGCGGAATTGCCATTCACATATTTGCAAGTATCTATACGTACACTTGAGCGCATACGTATGCTCACACACTCGCGGTGGCCTTTATCCCGCTACATCTGCATTTTACACAGGTATACATACCTCCCTTCCCGGATAAGACCATTATCTTGTGCCGTATAGGCTTCATACGACGAGTGATGATGGTCTGCAGCGGGTCAGGCGTGTTTGCGTTCTGGCGGCACAGTTGTTGGCCTGGACAGCCATCACAGGCACTAGCCCTTCCAGCGAGAGACTGTTGTATGACAATAACCAAACACTTCGGTGGTGAGCAAAAAACTGCTATATACGTCAACTGAATACCAGTCGATAGGTTTTATCTCAATACAAGGAATCCGAAAATGATACTTGTACACACATTCAAGGTCATGATTCATATACACACACACATATATATTTAAATATATATATATATATGTATAAAATATATATATATATATATATAATATATACATCATTATAT